CATGTGGCATGGAACCCCCTCCCCAGGGAACGGCTCCCACCTGTCCCTCTGAAAGGGGGCAGCCTCTCCCGGGACTGCAGTTTGCCGCAGCGGTGGAGGAGCTGCCAGACCTCGGGGGTGCCCTTCCCGGGGCTGAATGACAGCAGATCGATCCCTGTCCCTCCCGGCCCCTCGGCCTCCTGCGGTGTGCGGCTGCAGCACTTCCGCCAGAACCAGTGGCACTCCCTCGCCCAACAAACTTCTCCCTGCAGAACTACAGTACACACAGGAGGTGACTATTGCAGGAAGCCCACATTTGCCGAGTGCCGAGAGTCTTCAAAGCACTTGACATACACCCTTTCTCTGAGTCCTCCAAACTCTGTAAGTAGGAAGTGGGCGTTGAAGCACAGAGAGGTTAAGTGACTCACTCAGGGTCACACAGCTCAGAAGTGACTGGCTGACAGTGGAGCCCACTCACTCACCCCTAGGCCCAGGACAGTCTGGCTCTACCTGCTGCATGCTGGTATCAGGGCTCAAGATGAGACTTCTCTCCCTGAAACTCACTGTATGATCTGGGGAGAGTTACTCTGCCACTATGAACCTCAGTCTCCTCTGCAAAATGAGAAGACTAAGACCTGCCCGCAGTTGGGATGTTGACTGAGTTGGCTATGAGGAAGCACCTGAAGCCCCAGCACAGTGCAGTGCTGGGCCAAGGGGTGCTCAGCTGCACACCCCCTCCCCCTCCCCACCCCTCTGATATGAACCTGGACTCCCTGCATGGAGACTCAGAGCCAGAAGGAAAGAGGCCAAAGCTTACTGGAGGAAAAGCCTCAGCTTCTGGGAACAGCACTTCCCAGGGGGGCCCGGTTTCTGATCCATGGACTTTTCACCTTGGCACCGGCAACCTGACCACGCTGGCAGTGTTTACCCCGTGGGAAGGGGAAAGGCCTACATATGAGCAGAAGGGTGTGCTACAGCAGGTCAGAGCCAGGGTAGCTGGACTTGGGTCACTGAGAGCCCCTTGCCCCTGGAGCCTGACACACAGGTCTCTTTCCCAGTGCTTCAGCCAAGCTCTCTCTCCCCACTCTCCTTCACAGCTTGTTCTCCAGGACCAAACAGGAAGAGATCGATGATGATAAAACCCACTGCCCCCATCCTAAGAATCTGCACCCATGGTGTAGACAGGAGTTAAAATCCAAGCTCTCGCCATTGCTAGCTGTAAGAACCTCTCTGCTGCCTCATTTCTGCAATGGGAATAATAACCCAAGTCAGAGTGCTGAGGGAAGGATCTGAAGAGATTATGCCTGGAAAGGCCTTGACGTACCTTATCTCTCAGTGAGTGGAAGATGGTGTCACTCTAATTATGGGTGCTTAGGAAATGTTTACTTTCTTCATGGATGGGTAGATGGTCGGAAGGAGAACAGATGATGAATAGATGGATGTGTAGGTGGGTGGATGCTCAGATAGGGACGCGGAGGTAGGTGGACAGACAGATAGCTGCCAGGTACTCATCCAGTATCCACCTGTCTACTGCCTTCCGCTCATTCACCCCTCCCATTATTCACCCAGCCACCCGCCCATCCTTCCAGTCACTGATATGCCCATCCATCCAGCTGTGTAGATGCGGAGAGTGGGTAGATGGATGAACAGGTGAACAGATAGATGGATGAGTGGATAAACAGATACATGGGTGGATGGCTGGCTTAGTGGGTGGATAGATGTTCAGATGGACAGTTAGATGAATGAACAGATGGAGGGGTAGATGAATGGACAGATGGATTGCTGGATGGCTGGGACCACAAATGAAATGCTAAATTGCCTCCTTCCGGGAGGTGGCAGAAAACAATTGCTCAGGCTCTCTCCTGATACCACGTCCGTTCACCTGGCTGCAGGGGCCCAGAACGCTGCAGCCTTCGCGATCTTCTCGTTAACTGACTCCCGGAGCCTTCAACTACCCGAAACCAACAGGGCAGCGGAGTGACATTTCAGGTTTCCTTTCCTTGGCCTTTCACCGAGCGTGGCTTACAGCTGTTTGCCGGCCTGCCTTCTCCTCCAAAGGTGCCTTCAGGGCCCCCACATGAAGTAATGGATGCAGCTTCCCCAGAGCTAAGGGGGTTGTGTGCCCTACAAAGTTGGGGGCTCCTTCCCTTCAGCTGCCTTGCCACATTCTCTCTGCAGCGGCGCCGCCAATTACCTTAATTACCTTTCAGTTAGGGGCTTAATTTATAACATGGTGGCAAGGAAGTATTGGAGAGTTTCCTTGGCAACCCAAGTTTTTTAACATAAGATTCTCCGTGTTTTAACAGCCACTTCTCATCTAATTTCCTCCCTGAAAATTAGCTTGGAACTTTTCAGATACTGGAAATTTTAGCTTAACAGCAGGGTAGCACTTACATCTAAAACCACTGGACCTCAATGTCTCCCCTGCCAGAGGTGAGACTCTGGGAAGGTGTTTGGTTTCCTCTGCCCGTTTGTTCCACAATGACCTTTATGAAATGGCCGTGGGGAGAACTTTTCTGAGCTCTGAACCATCAGTCAAACTCTTGACAACAGCCTGCTTTCTAGACTTGTGTTGTTCCAGTTCCTTGTTGGCTGGAGTTTTAGCCATGAGCACTTGATTGATGGCAGACTCCAGAACAGCCAGGGCGTTGGGGCCTGCACTCCATGGCATCTCTGGCCCCCATATTCCCAGATTGAGAAGAACAGCACTGGTCACCACCCTAAATTCAGAGGGCATGCAATACCAGAGGCAGTTCTTGGACAAGGCAACTCTCCCTGGGAGCTCACTCATCACCAACAAGCTTCTCTACCGCCATGGCTTTTCTTAATCTGCCCTAGCATGGGAGGGGGCCATACTACCTTTCTTCTCTTCCCGCTTTCACACCCTTTAATCCCACCAAACCACTCATCCATCCCTTCAACCTCCAGCCATCTACAAAGCATGTACCTCTCTACTCACCCGCTGTTCATTCTCCAACCACTCTACCTCCATCGACCCAATCCTCACTCGTATCCCATAATCCACTGGAATGTCTACACTCCCAGTTTTATCTTGACTTTCCAAATATGATGTTATTTTATAACACTGCTCCAACACTGCTTCCCCTGAGGAGCTTTTCCCAGTGCTCCTGCTCCTTCCTCTGAAACTTTGAAACAACCTGTCTGCACCTCTCAGGGCACCCAGCTTTTCTGTTATGTCTGGGTGAAGTTATCTGTATCCTGAAGGCATGTGGAAAACCCAAGTAGGACTAATTCAAACTCTGGCTCTCACAGATGGGGAGCTGTGTGTCCTCAGTGATGAGGTGAAAGGGTGAACTGAGGGTGGATGCAGAGTTAATGATCAATGGGTTGGATGGAGATCAGATGAGCGAATTATTGGAGGTTGATGGACCATTAGATGGATGTACAGATGGGTGACAAGCATCCAGAGGCGTAGATAGTTGAAGAACATGAGAATGAATAATTAAATGAAGGCTAAAGGGCTGGAACAATGAAGAGAAGAATGGATGGATGGATGGATGGACGGATGGATGGATGGATGGATCAGTGGACAGAAGCATGGATGGATGGATGCATCACATGAACAAAAGGATGGAGGGATGAATGGATGGATGGGCAGACAAATAGGTGGATAGATGGTTGGCTGGCTGGCTGGCTGGATGGATCAATGTGTAGAATAGATGGATGGACTGATGGAAGGATGGATGAATAGATGAAAGGAAGGAAGGAAGGACGGAAGGAAGGAAGGGAGGGGAATGCAAATGCACCTTCCCTCACTGCCACTGCCACTGCCACTGCCACTGCCACTGCCACTGCCCAGGCAGCATTGCAAAGTCTGAGGGGATGGGACAGAAGACTGACCATCAGGCACTTCTGAACAGGGCAGAATAGCAACCTAGATTCTCCTTTGTCAGACAAAATATTACTCCTTATACCTTGAGGCTTGAAGTTTTTCAGTGACCCTGGGAAAAGGACAGGGCCTCCTGTGGGACCAATTCATTAAGAAAGACAGTCCGGATCAGCTCATCCAAGCACTTGGGCTGACTCTAAGTGCCAGGCGGTTGGAGGATGTTCGATAACTATTCATTGGAAAGTGACGGATTGATCTTGGAGACTTGCCATTCTAGGGAAGCATCAGCCAGCTGGGGACAGCACACAAATGTCACTCCTCAGAGCACATTCTCTCATGCTCAGCAACAGGAAAAGTTGACCCTGCTTTTACCAACAGATTTGAATGAGTAGTTGTTCTCCACACTTACGCAGTGACTGTAACCCCTGTGTCAGAGGGGCCTCAGGGAACAGCACTTCGCTGATAGAACCGATACCCATTGTACAAGGAGGTTTAGCCACTTCTGACACATCTCAGGACAGGACACGGAGGGCATGAGGTTGCACCAAGTGGACCCACAGAAAGTTGAGTTAGATATAACCAGTTTGTTCTATATAACTGGGAGTCAGTTTGTCCATGAAGCCAGGAAGACCCAGTAGACAGAGAACCCCAGTTGCCACAGCCTATGCTGCTGGGGAGTTAAGTGACACAGGGAGTCTGTTCTATACCAAGTTAGAGGACATCTGGACCCAGTCCCTTTCCAGGAGGGAAACTCTCACTAGGAGCCGATCACAGACAAACTCCAAGGCCAAAGGAAGGTGGAAACACCTTCACCTTTCCTCCTGCGTCCTCATCCCAGCCTGCAAGGCTTGACTCAGAGCAGCTGTGTGGTCTGTCACCTGGGCTCTGAGAGCAGGGGTGCAATGTACACCTGCAGGAGGTGCCATCCACATGGCCCCGGGACGGAGCAGCAGGCTTCATTGTGCATTGTTATCACAGGTGGTTTTAGGGACTCAGATTCCCAAACGCTGCATCTAAAAGACCCCCCAAAGACAAATTCACTTCTGCCTTATCTGTAAAGTGTTTAGCTAAAGTGTTGGGCACATAATAAGTGTTCAACAAATAAGCATTTTTAGGAGAGGGTGAGATGGGCCAACTCGGACAGATCAGAATTTAAGTCTGCCATGCTGATTTATTGTACTTCTGCCCAAGGAAAAAAGAGAAAAAGAGTAACTTCAGTTTTCTCTCTCCCTCTCTCTTTAAGGCTGACTTTGCGGCAGCACCCTCCTGTCCCCTTGCTTGCAGCCTGTTGAAAAAAAAAAAGAAAAAGAAAAACCCAATCAGGCATGCTTGGCTGAGCCCCCACCCCTCCTGCCCACAGTTCCCTCCAACTTGATGTTTAATTTCCCTGGGTCGAGAAGAAGCATTCTGATGATCCGAGTTAATTCAAAATGTAAATTTCATCTCCTATCGGCTAATGGCTCTGAGCTCCACTTTACATAACAGGGGAGCAGCTGCTGAGTGAGTCACCGGCCCCCCCAGCTCCCTTGTCTCTGTCCTTAATGGTGATGAACCCTCGCTGAGGCTTCAAACAGACAGCCAAGCCTCTGCACCCATGGAGACCAGACCTGAGTTCACCTCTGTGGGCCGAGTGTTCTATTAACCAGGGGAGGTCGGGGGCAGGGGGCTAATGCCAACCCCAGGAGCTGTGCTCAGCCCAGAAGGCTCCGACTGGGTTAGACCAGTCTCCCAGGGCCAGTCTTGGGCAGCCCAGACTGGTGTGCCCGCTCACCTAGATTTGGGAGCCTTGGCCTTAGCAGAGAATTTCACAAGCTCTTCAGCTTCCTCTGAGTGCAAGGAGCTATCTTTGCCCATCCCTGAAAAGTAGCCTTGAACCCTCCAAGAGTTGGCAGCCGGCATGGCAGCTAGTCTTCCAGATGCTGGCTTCCCTGGGAGGAGGGTCCGCATGCTGCCCTCTGGGCCATAGCACGGGTCCCCTCTCATCTCCCTCGAAGCCAGGGGCTTGTCGTAAAGACAAATCATACCTTGAGGTCTGTGCCACAAAGTTCACACGTGCCCCTGAAGACACAAGAAGCAGCTGCAGATCAGGGATTCCAGCTGACCTTTGTGGCCTGTGGACGAGCCAGGCTTTGGGCCTGAACGGAGTGGACCTCAGGATATGCCTCTGAGTCTACACCTCCTGTTCCCCACTGCCCTTTCCCAGGTCTCGGGACTGGAAAAACTCAGCAGTAGGTGGGGATAAATGGTGGCATCAAGTGGGGCAAACACGGGAGTGGGAGGTGTCCCCAGTTCTCAGGCCTGCTGCTATGCTGCAGTGACCTCCCTGGGGTGGAATCGTCCCCAGCGTGACTTCATTAAGTCAGCCGCACTCACTGTCTCGTCACTGTCCCCGCGCATGGACCTGGGCTCACTAAATCCCAGTTCTAAGGGTCCCACCAAAGAACCACGTGACTCCAACCTCATGGCAGAGAAGGCTTCCAGGGACCAAGGCAGAGTGCTCAGTGTACAGCTGGTGAGACGGGCTCAGGGAGGAAGGAACTCTCCGCAGGTCACACCACAAGCTTAGTGGCTGTAGTGAATACTTCCATTCCAGAGATTCCTGCTGCTAGGGAGAGGGGACAAGGAATGGGACCCTCCCGCCATATTGGAGCCTCTCGGTCCAGGGCCGCTGCCCTGTGCCTAGACCCTCCCTTACGCACAAACACGAGCCAAACCCTCCCTGCATTTGCCTGAGCAGTTGGTGTGCGTTTTCTGACAGGCCGGCAGGGCTTGGCGGGGGCGGGGTTCTTGGTCTCCTGACTCAATGCCTGTGGGGTCAGCGTAGAAGCTGAGGCTCCTGGTGGCTCCCACTCTCCCACCTGCCAGCCAAGTGACTTCTGAAGGTCTTTGCCCCTGTGGCCTCAGTTTCTCATCCAGTTGCTGCTGACATGACTTTTACGGTACTCGTGGTAGTTTCAGGCGGATCCCAGGCCTGGCATTAAATGACATTGAATCCATAACAAGAAAGTCCATCCCTTTTCCATTTGTTAAATTCTCCAGATTCAAAGGAGAGGGTCTCAGCAGGGGGCACATACCTCTTCCTTCCTCAGCTCCCTCTTCCACAAGGTGAATGCAGGCCTTGAATGGAGAGCCTTTGGCATATTTTGTTTTAGTTATATTTATTCTTTTACTTACAACTTTATGGAGCTATAATTTACATATCATAAAACTCACCCATTTCAAATGCACAGTTCAATGGTTTCTTACATATTCACAGGATTTCAGAAACTCTAGTACAGTCTAACTCTGGAATATTTTCGTCACCCCCAAAACACCCTGCAACTGTCAGGGGTCAGCTGTCCCTTCCCATTGCCTCCGCCCCTGACCCCTAGCAACCTTCATCTGCCTTCTGTCCCTACAGCAGTCCCTACTCATGCGACACAGGCGTTTGGCGTGGCCAGCTTCTTTCACTTAGTATGGTCTTTCGGTAGTTACCTTAGCAAGGAACGCTGGTTTGGGATCCCCTTGGGATCGAAAGTCTTTTTAAGCCAAACTCTTTCAATCTACTAATATTTCTCCACTTGAGCGAATGAATCTTTGGCTCAAGTTACCAGCCATCCGTGGAAGGTGGAATGTGCGTTGGACATTTGGAAGACAGCCCCGCTCCTCAGGGAGGATCTGTGAGGCCCTCGCAGGTGATCCTCTGATTCTGGGACCTTTCAGCACCCTCTGTCTCCACAGGCAACCTCTCCACAAGTTCCTTTCTTGGTTCTCCCTGTGAAGAGCCGGAGAAGCCTCTGCAAACAGCCAGCGCTCTAGCGAGCTCTGAAGGGCAGCTGGAGCCTGGGGCCTCCTCCGCAGTGGTTATGTCCAGGAAGCAGCACCAACAACGAGTTTAATTATGCAATTAGAGTCATTTTCCCGGGCTGAACAAATATTTACAGCATATTTTGCTGCAAATTGCCTCGCCTGGAGAGGAGTTCTTCCATTCAGGCTGGTGAACATTCACACATTGACATATCCCATTACCAGGGGGCTCAGCCGACAGGCTCTGAGGCGGCCCAGGCTATGCGGGCCCAGCGCCCCCAGGAGTAAGAGTTCAATGCAAAGACGCAAGCAGGTGTCAACAAGGCAAATGTATTCTTGGTCCCTCCACGGGGCTACTACGGACCCAATGACGTCCGCTGCTCCTCTGCGGCAGCCCCAAATCTCAGCTCTGCGGCATCAGAAAAACCTCTGAGCTTTGTTCTGGAGCTAAGAGAGGGCCCAGATGGTGGAGAGAACATGGTGCCTGGAAACAGTTCCGTAACAATGCGCGCTGCACCCATCCGGCGCCGGCCGCTCTTCCTCTAATCTGCCCAGGGGTCCTGGGAGCGGGGCCCTCACAAGCGCCTGTGTTTTGAACCCCTCTCAAGGGGGCCCCCGCTGTGCTGAGCTTCCTGTGTGAGGAGGAGCAGGAAAACTTCAGGAAAGCCGAAACAGATCACCCGCTTGACGCCCCATCTGAAATTCATCTCTGTCTCAAGCCCCCGTTTCATCCCGTGGAAGAAACTTGATCTTAGATCATTGGGGTGAAGTCAGTTCATTCAGGGTTTTCTCAATTTGGGGGCACCCCCGCCTCCGTCAAACTCCCCTTTTTGCAGCAAAGTTCTGGGCAGCTCGTGTAGCCTGAATGACATGGTGAAAACAGGAATGAGGCTGGTGCAGTCCCCCAACCATCCAACCCAGGACCCAGCTGCTACTGTTACCGTGGTATTCTTAAGGGTTTTTTTTCTAAGCATAGATGTACAAATACTCAATACCCTTCCGTTATCTACCTTTACAGGGGAAGCAGCGGCAAATATTGCCTGTCAATATCTTATGTTTTGCAGAGTCTTTTTTTTTTTTTTAGACAGAGTCTCACTCCATCACCAGGCGCCAGGCTGGAGTGCAGTGGCACGACCTTGGCTCACTGCAACCTCTGCCTCCCGGGTTCAAGAAATTCTTCTGCCTCTGCCTCCCGAGTAGCTGGGACTACAGGCACGTGCCACCGCGCCCAGCTAAATTTTTTGTATTTTTAGTAGAGACGGGGTTTCACCATGGTGGCCAGGATGGTCTCGATCTGTTTTGCAGAGTCATTTTAAATGGCTGCCTAGCTGTCTGTTCTCGAAGGAACTACAGTTTCTATTGTTGGGCATTTAGGTCGGTTCTTAATTTTTGGCCAAGGTAAGCAACTCCATGATGAGCATCCTTGCAACTGAATCTGTGCAGACTTTCGTGATTTTCCCCTGACGACACATTTCTTAAAGGTAGAATTCCTCCTGGACCCAAACTCTGAGTCTTTTGCTAAAATGTTTGAGAAGGGTGAAGGTGGCTCCCTACGGGGACGGGCTCGCTACACAGGGGGAAAAATGCTTCCGACCTTCCTGATGGGCGTCGCTCTCCAGCTCCTTTTCCTAAAATACACAGTGGAAGCAGGAGCTGTGGAGGTTCCACAGAGGACAGATTTCCACTCCTGAGCTACAGCCGGTCATCGGTGGGACAGCTGTCGTGGGAGGGAGCAAGCTCCTGTACCCGATGTGGCTCCAACCCTGAAGAGGTGGAGTGAAGGAAAAACCAGAACAATCAGCCCCTGCCTGGCGTCATCTCATTGGAGCTTTTCAACAACCCCCTGGAGACAGTAGTTATCAGGCCCTTTTCACAGTTGAGGAAACTGAGGCTCAGTGTTTCGGGCAGTTGCCTAAGGGCACACTTCCAGGGAGGTGCAGGGCCATGACTCACACGCAGATCCTCCGACTGCAGATTCAGCACTGTGCTGGGCTAGTTTATTTCATCCTTATCGGGGTCCACCAGAGGTATTATTACCCCAGTGGCACAGAGGAGCTAGAAGGCCCCGCTGGCCAGCAGCAGAGCTGTGGTATGTTCCAGGTTACCAGTGTTTACTGCCCCCAGGGAAGGAGAAAGGGCAGAAGGTAGGAAGCAAGCAGCCAACTCTTTCCCAAAGATGAACTCACTGGGGCTGTTGCAGCAACTGCTGACAGAGAGGGAAAAGCGGTGGCTGGTGCCCTGGCTTGGTGCCCTCTGGAAGGGCTGCAGGTCAAGAGAGCTCGGTAGGGCCCATACCCTGCGGTCTTAAAGTCAAACCGTGCACTCCGAAAGATGCATGCTGTTGGCACCCAGAGGGTCAAGTGAGCAGCGCAGGGGGCTCCAGGCTAGGGTGGGCCCCAGGGGAGAGGAAGAGAAGGGAGAAAACCCTATAACTCCTGACTCCCAAGTGTGCCCGGCCCCACCTAGCCACCCCACCCCACCTGCCTACCTGCCAGTGCCCCCTAAATGCCTCACCTGGGAGTGAGGGCAGGTTTGCTGTCCTGGTTCAATATTTGTTGTGTAACTATTGTTTTCTGGCCTTTAACCCAGACTCCAACACAGCTTCCTGGGGGTCAGGGGGCAGCTCTTGCACTGAGTTCCAGTAGAGGACGTCAGTCCCACTGTTGGTTTGGGAGTCACGTGGTCCGGCAGCAGGTCAGGAATCAGGAGATTCTGGGCTTGCCATCTCACTCCAACCGTATTTTCCATGATGAAATGAGCCCCTCATCCGTGAGCTTCCTGCAAATGGCCTTAGCTTACGTACCCTCCATCATCTGAAGGCATGACAAGAGAACACTGAAAAATAAGGTCGCAATGTCCTGTTTATTGTAGACAGGGGTCCCAGCACAGAAACCAGAACTTGGAGACAGATAGCGCACTCAGGAGGCATGGTTTGGGGAAACTGAGTCAGAGCCAATGACACATGTTGAGTCCTTTTGGTCCCCTGAAAACTCTTACGCTGTGTACATAAGTCACCTCCTCTAGGTTGTCCCCCAGGCTTGCAGTGGCTGCTGGCAAATGGTCCGACATGAGGCTACTTGGCACGTGGGTGATGCTGTGCAGGAGGGGAAGGAATTCGGAGATGGCCAGTTTCTTTGCCTGCCAAGGGAGTAGAGACTACTGATGGCCCATAATGGGACACTGGGCAAGAGACATGCATTTTAACAAACTATATCCTGGTGGCCCCTCTCAGGAGTCTGAGGAGCTGCCCAAAGGGCCCCCAAGGGGTGAGGAAATGGAGGCCAGGTGGCTTGCATTCTGGACTCCCTCCCCAGCCTCAGGTGGGCTGCCTTGGGCTCTGTCTCATTTAGATGTGGGACTCTGAGTCAAGTGCATGTCAGGAACATGTTCTGCAGTGAAAAGGAGAAACATGTTCAAATGCCACTGATTTAAACGAATACAGCAGATAGCATTTAATTCGGTAAGTGGTTTTTCCCCATTGGTGGTTTTGATATTAGAACAAGCCAGTGTGTCTGGAGCCAGGTAAGACTCTCAGCTCCTTAAAGGGGAAGGAAATCCTGGCAATTTCTCAGCCCCGATGGATACTCCTGGCCTCAGTTTTCTCACCTGTAAAACTGGGGTGATCTCGGCTTTACCTTCCATGTGGAGGCATTGTAAGGAGCAAAGGAAGTGAGGAAAAGAGGCACGTTTTCCAGGTGAGGAGACTGGAGGGGCAGAGAGTGGCATGAGAACAAGCCTGCCCACTGGGGTGTGGGAGGGTGAAGCCTAGGCCCAGGAAGGAAACTGCAACTTGAAAATAATGGTGTTCATACAGAATGAATCTGTGATATAGTTTATGGTTTGTTTGGACTGTTCTGGAATACCCAATAAACACTGGGAGTAGAGGGGAGCAGGTGAGAGTTCAAGGCAGAGCTCGGGACCGAACCACCCACCTGTCTTCTTGGGTAGCCCATGCCCCTGGGCATGATGCCCAGGATACAGAAGGCGCTCAATTAATGCTCGCTCTGCCCAGATCCTGCTGGCTTTTCCTTCTCAAGAACATTTGTCTCCCCTCTCTCCCCCACAGGGATGACAGTTGAGAAAACTGTTCTTTTGAAGAATTAAAAGGCAAAAGCCTATGAAACTGAACACGAGGTAATTTTTGTGGAAGCCCAAGCCCCCTCCAGTTCCAAATTGTCAAAAAGCATTAAACCCTCCCAGTCCAGGCACATAAGCCTCACCGCCTAAGGGTTTGTAGAATTGTTTTTTTTTTTTTTAATTTTAGGAAATTGATAAATAAATTGTGTCTATCCACACACTGGGATAGGGTACAGAAGTGAGAATGAGTGAATGATAACCAGGCTGCAATGCAGAGTAATCTCACAAATACAATGGCAAGTGGGAAAAAAAAGAAAAAATAGATGTGAAAGAGAACGTGCTGAATTCATGTATCTAGAAGTCACAAGCAAGCACAGCTAATCCGTGATGTTAGAAGTCAGGCTAGTGGTCATCCTCAAAGGGAGGTAGTAAGTGGGAAGGGGTGGAAGGGGACCTCCTGAGGGCTGTGTTCAAACTTTCTATTTCTTGGTCTAGTTTCTGGTGCATGGATGTGTACATCTGGTGAAATTCATTGAGTTGTACACTTACATTAAATTTCAAAACACGTGTCTTCCATTGTTTTTTTCTCTTGCAAAATGGAAGTGAGGAGAAGTAAGAGTAACATGTTTATATCTACTTCAGGGCTGTCAGCGTGCTGGATATTTATTACACGGGTGGTAACTCCTAGCATCCTCTCAGTCACCCCCTGGCCTAGGCGTTAGGTCCTCTACTTTACAGATGAGGAAACTGACATGTGGAATGGGTCATTTTTCCAAGTCCATGCCCTTAGCAAGTGTTGGAACCAGATCTAACCTAGGATTCGAATCCAGGTTTCTTTGGGTCCAGAGCTCATCCCTTTTCCTTCACATCCTGCTGTTTCCAAGGAAAGAGCGCTAGCTTTAGACTCAGAAAATCTCATTTTGAATCCTAGTGCTGCCATTCACACGGTATGACTTTAGGCAAATCGCGTAATCTAGCGTGTTCTTAATCTCATTTTAATGAAGGGTTTGTAGAATTGTTAAAGGATGCCAACTAGTGACTAGAATGCAGAATTGCCCGGGCTAGAATGCAGTCTAAAAATGGGTATGCCTATAATTGTGCTTAATAATAGAGACATGAAAAAAATGAGGGAAGAGAATAACTAACAAGCAGCCAAGCAATATTTCATTTAAACCTGTAAATAGGTGTGGTGTGATAGAGTGTATATTTTAGGTATTTAAAGTGGAGAGTTCTATAAATGTTAATTAAGTCTACTTGTTCCAGATCTGAGTTCAAGTCCTGGATATCATTGTTAATTTTCTGTCTCATTGATCTGTCTAATATTGATGCTGAAGTCTCCCACTATTGTTGTGTGGGAGTCTAAGTCTCTTTATAAGTCTTATATATCTGGGTATTCGTGTATTGGGTGTGTATATGTTTAGGATCTTTAGCTCTTCTTGTTGCATTGATCCTTTTATCATTATGTAATATCCTTCTTTGCTTCTTTTGATCTTTGCTGCTTTAAAGACTATTTTATCAGAGGCAAAAATGGCAACTCCTGCTTTCTATTTATTTATTTATTTTTGCTCTCCATTTGGTTGGTAAATCTTTCTCCATCCCTTTGTTTTGAGTCTTCGTGTATCCTTGTATGTGAGATAGGTCTGGATGCAGCATGCCGATGGGTCTTGGCTTTTTTTTTTTTTTTTTTTTTTGGATTGGGGAATTTAGTAGATTTAAATTTAGAATTAATAATAATATATGTGAGTTTAATACTGGCATTTAATGTTAGCTGACTGTTTTGCCCATTAGTTGATGTAAATTCTTGATTATGTTGATGCTCTTTATTTTTTGGTATTTTTTAGAAAAGCTGATACTGGTTGTTCGTTTCTATGTGTAGTGGTTCTTTCAGAAGCTCTTGTAAAGCAGGCCTGTAAAGCAGGGCTTGTAGAATTATTAAAGGATGCCAACTAGTGACTTCGGCGAATTCAGAACCCTAACCACCATTCCCTGCCTCATAATCCCCGTCTGCTCCTTCCTTCCCCCTGGGACCAGGCAACGCACCCCCTCTTCAAGTGTGATTCTGAACGTCCCCACTTCTTGGGGAGGGGGTAGGATTTAAATCACAAGATATTTAATCAGAGTTCCCTCTTCTTGGTAGCTCAGGTAAGAAAAACCAAGCAAAGCAAATCCATCTTTTCTATAAAACTTCATTTTGTAATTTTTTTCCCAAGAAGTAGTAAGGGGGAAATATTGCAATTATGTGAAGGTAAGGAACAACAGTGTATAAAAATAATTTAAACATACATGTTAATAACAAAGCAACGTCTCTTTCAAGCACAACTAGTATGTCATCTTGCCCAAGATTTTTCCAAAGTTATTAAATATATTATTGATAACAGTACATACAAATACACATACACAAATACACCACACAGATACATGTGCACACATATACAAACACACATATATATACACAGCTCAAGTATTTTTTTTTTTTCGGTGTGCATTCTGGCTAATCCACATAGCTAAGGTGAAAAAACACTAAAAAGACAAAATTCCTGGGTAACCTTCAATTTCAACAAACTATGTATTGGATGTGAATTTCTGGAGGTGTGCTAAGATTTCCCTTTCCAATTTCATTAGCGACTAGTCTGTGTTCTGTGGTTCTTATTCCTGAAAAAAATCAAAGTGTGCCTTCCAGATCTGCTCATGGTGTGGTGATGATTATTACGGTGGCATCAATTTCACAAACTTGCCCTCTTTTGCTCCTACTGCACTTTGTAGATGGGAAAGGGAATGATTTTAAAGGTAAAGTGCTCAGGTTCTGATTACATCTGGCTTATTCTTTGCTTCAAGGCGAGAACCTCTCTCTCAATCTCACAGGGGAGATCCGCGTTGACTTGCTCCTCCAGATACTTCTCGATTTCTTCCACCTCCTTCTCCCAGAACTCCTTGGAGATGCTGAAGAGCTCCATTGTGTTGACGTGCCCCAGGCCTTTCAGGTTCAGGGCATCCTCCTTGGGGATGTAGCCTATGGGCGTGAGCTTGGCGCCGGCTTTCCCGTCCACCCGGTTGAACATCCACTCCAGCACCCTGGAGTTCTCTCCAAAGCCTGGCCAGAGGAATTTGCCTTCCTTGTCCTTCCGGAACCAGTTGACATGGAAGATCTTGGGCAGCTTGGCTGCTGGGTGCTGGGCCATGCTAAGCCAGTGGGCCAGATATTTACCAAAGTTATAGCCAAAGAAGGGCCGCATGGCAAAGGGGTCGTGCATGATGATTTTGCCTGTAAAACAGAGAGGGAGGGTCCATTGGTAAATGATGCTCTCCTAGGCAAGACAGATGGACCCCGTTTATTCTTGACACCAGGATGCTTTGTTCTCCTCTCTCTCTCTCTCTCTCTCTCTCTCTCTCTCTCTCTCTCTCTCTCTCTCTCTCTTTCCCTCTCTCTCTCTCCACATACAGACACAGAGAAGGAGAGAGATATAAGAGTGACGAGGAGAGCTCTAATCCCACTAATCTGTGGTTTCAAATTAGGATTTCAATTTACCTTTATGCTCTGCAGCTGCTGTGGCCTCTGATCTCATGGCCGCCCCCACGAAGACTCCATGTTGCCAGCTGAGAGCTTCATAGACTAGAGGGACACCTTTAGCAAGAAAAAAATAGAAAAGTTCCCTAGAGGCTTTGCTATTCAGCCTCCACAAACAGCGGTGTTATTTCACAACATGGAAAGACACAGCAAGATAACAACATTGTCATAGAGCTAGTTTTGCATTCACCAAGCTAAAGTGCAGAAGACTGCTAAGTCAAACTTACAGGACTGAGGCCACAAAGTCAAAAGTAAAATTTGATCAAGCTATGGTAGATCAAGGATTCAGAAAGGTTCTAGGTGACCAGAAGGGTTGGTTCTGCATTTGAGCTTGCCAATTAGTCTGGCTTTTTGGAAAGGAAGCTCCTGAGCACCCTCCGACAAAGTCATGGAAAAGGAGAGATTTCACAGATGCCCTTCCATACCCAGCATGTCCGTGTTCCCATCTTAAATGAAGGAGAGCCTCACCAGCAGGTCTGCGGCCTCCAAAGATGATGCCTTCAATGGGAACACCTTCTGGAGACTCCCAGGCGGCATCGATGATGGGGCACTGGCTGGCAGGGGTGCAGAATCTCGAGTTGGGGTGGGCACAAGGTTCCCCTAGAAGACAGAGAAAGACCCATGAGTGCCTGGCTCAAACAGGCAATCCCTGCTGCCCGGCACACCGAGGCCTTTGCTGGGGACTCACCATCCTGTGGGCTCCACGCCTTATTCTTCCAGGAAGTGATGGTGACTCCTGGAGCTAGCTGCTCATCAATACCTTCCCAGTAAACGCCCCCGTCGCTAGTCTCAGCCACATTGGTGAAGATAGTGTTCTTCTGGATTGTCTTGATGGCATTGGGGTTGGTCTTCACAGAGGTCCCAGGAGCAACCCCAAAAAAGCCATTTTCTGGGTTGATAGCCCTTAAATTACCTGGAGAGTTTCAAAACAGAGAAGCAGTGGTGAGTGCAAACACTCTTCAATCCTGCCGGACTAATTTCTATGCCAGCTTCTCAGATCTTTTTTTCCCTCCCTAGAATATACATTTATCTCTTTTCATCTAAGCATCATATGCAACTTTGAGACATTTACAACTCTTGCTTCCTCCACAATTTTCCACCAATACCATCTAAACAAATTTATGTATGTAAACAAACAGCAACATATGGCCCTGTTTCAATCCAGATTGAATATTAAATTGAAGATTTCTTACAGAATACAGAATACTAAGGATTTGCCAGCTCTGAACTAAAAAAATTTAAAAATCCAAACACTGGATTGAGGAGACTGTGGCAGGTTTTGAAGGCCAACAATTCACTTGAGTCCAACTGAGTCACCTTGCGCATCAAACTTCATCCAGGCGATATCGTCCCCGACACACTCAACCTTCCACCCGGGGAGGCTGGGGTTCATCATGGCCAGGTTGGTCTTCCCGCAGGCGCTGGGAAATGCAGCCGCCAGGTACTTCTTCTTGCCCTCGGGGTTGGTTATACCCAGGATCTGTTGGGGACAAGATTCTTTATTAAGATCTTTGTTTGCTTCTCCCTGAGGTTGGTACTTCAGCCCAGAGGTGGGAATGTAGGCCCTCAAGATTTATTTCTTCAGGCATCAGTGCAAACAAACATTTCCAAAATCATGAAGCCCAAAGGATCTCTATAGTCCCCTGGTGTTTGGGGCCCTTCAAAAGTGACTTATGCAGGTGCACCGGTCTTTACTGGTGGGGTTTCCCGATCTGTCCGGGAACCTGCGTGCTCAGAGAGGTGTGCTAGGTCTTGCTGGACAAGAACTGTGATGCTGTTTGTTTCTGCCACCCACCCACCCCCCTGCTCACCTCCCAAGCCTCTCATGTGCACATCAGGGCTTCCTGCAGACTCACCAGCATGTGCTCTGCCAGCCAGCCTTCCTCTTTGGCTAGCCGGCTGGCCATCCTGAGAGCAAAGCACTTTTTCCCGAGCAGCGAGTTCCCGCCGTACCCACTTCCGAAGGAGATGATCTCTCTGCGATCAGGCAGGTGCGCGATGAGAGTCAGCTCCGGGTTGCAGGCCCAGTTATTGACCAAAGGCTCTGTGAACAAGGACCCCTCCCACATCAGTGCGCCAGGGCCCTGCTTGGGGGTCCCCGAGGCACCCGTGGGATGGTGTTCAGCTTTCTTTTTTATTTTGACTTTCGAATCTGAAATAATACACTTACTTTTTAAAGGCAGAGGGCACCCCACAGAATGGAGGCATTTAACAAACTCCCCATCGCCCAGTGCTTCCAGGACAGGCGTGCCCATCCGCGTCATGATCCTCATGCTGGCCACCACATAGGGCGAATCCGTCAGCTCAATGCCGATCTTTGACAGAGGCGAGCCCAGCGGCCCCATGCTGAATGGGATGACATACATGGTGCGACCTACGGGGTGCGGGGGTGGGAACTGGTGACAAATGACTCTGGACTACAAACACAACCGGCATGGCTTTTCCCAGGTAGACCCATTCACCCGGTCTCCGCCGACACCACCATGCCCTGCTAGTTACCAGCCCCCCTGGGTTAGAAGAGGCCACTGGAAAGTGAACAGCCTGCTGAAATTAAAGAGTTTTCATAAATGTGCAATTGGGTCCCACCAAGCTGTTTTGAACCCACATGCATGGAAATAGTTTTCATGTTCATATAAAACAGTCTGTAAAAGCAGAACAGGGATGTGCATTTTCAATACGTTGCCAATTTCATAGATGGAACTCAAAGACATCTGAGGCGGTGGGAGCTTCCGTTACTGTTTGAATTACCGTTAGGAGAGATGAAATAAGAAAAGGTTCTCTGCTATTTTGCCCAATCAAATAAATGTTCCGCTCACCTTTCATGCACCCTGGGAATCTGGCATTGAATGCTTTCTCAAAATCCTCCTCTGACATCCAGCGACCGAGCTGGCTGAGGCCAGTTTTGGGGATGGGCACTGTGTCTCTTTGCTCTTGGGTGATGATAACCGTCTTGCTTTCGATCCTGGCCACATCCCTGGGGTCAGTGAGAGCTAACCAGCTGCAAAAATCACAGGCTTCCTTTCAGCCCAGCGCCACTGGCAATGGACCATCTCCTTCAGTTCGCTGCTTTCCATGCGTAGCAGGGTGCTGAGCGGGCTGACAACGGTGCATCGATGTGAACAGACAGACCAGCTAAGACATGGCCAGGTGGACATGAACTCAACTAGAGCTGGTCTGCAGGAGAGGGGCTGCCTTTTGCTTTTACCAGGAATCTAGTTGGCGGAGCTTCTGTGCGCACCACCTCATTTAAGGCCTGGGCTGCTCTACCAATGTCACAAAATTCAAGTCTGTATGGTTCTGACCATTGCCTGCCTTCACCTTTTCAAGAGTCTGAAACTCCCGAGAGGCCTTCATTCACCTTTCTCCACCAACTCCCAGGAGACAAAAGGGAGCCCTGCCTGCGGGGGGCTGGGCAGGCAGTGGGGGCCAAGCTTACCAGCTGTCATATTTCTTCAGCCGCCTGAGGGTGCCCTGCTCCTCCATGTAGCCCAGAAGCTGTGTATTCTCCTCCTCGGAGCCATCGCAGATGTGGATGCGATCGGGCTGACACAGCTCAGCGTTGTTCTCGATAAACTCCCTCACCGCCTGGGGTAGGCTGTCCAGGGTGCCCTGGACAACTTTGGCTGCGATGTCCAGGCCGTTTTGCAGCTGAGGAGGCATTTCTGCAGAGTGCTGCTAAGGGGCACCAATGTCAAAGTCACCTGAAATAGAAAACGCAGGCGTCCTGGACAAAAGCAACAACAGACACCTTCAAACACACTTGACGGCCTTTTGCCGGGTCCGGGCATTGCCAAATAGTTATTGCTCTCAGGAAATAAATGAGCTCATCTTTGTAACTTTTAGAAATGTAAATGCAGAGCTCTACTTACCTTTCCTCTCTTTGGACAATCTCGAAGGGAGATCCACAGGTTTCTTTCCGGGTTCTTCCCGCCAGCGAGTTTGTGTTCCCCGTGGGAAGGCGGTGCTTGGTGGCAGAACCTTCTGGCTTTAAATACCATGGAGAAGAACAGCCCTGCCCCTCGGCTGCACCCAGGGAGGCTCGCCACTGATGTCAGAAAGCAGGTCTCTGGATCATGGCCAGGGTCAGTTATGCTTTGGGCCAACTCACTGCAACACGCCCCAGGGAGATAATCATTGAACAGATAGTTGTTAATGAATGTCACAGACCTTGGGCCCTCAACCAACCATAGTGAGTTTTGATACAACTTCCAATGGACTGAACTTTGATCCATTTTACTGCTGATGCAAAACACACCACCCTTTTCTTAGTAGGCAGGTGGAGTCGAGGACAAGGCTGGTCAGGGCACCTACTGGACTTCAAGGGCTACTGGCAGCACATTTTGTGTGCCAAGAGCTGCTGGCTGGCAAAACACCGTAGCTGTACGAAGTCACCCCACAGTGAAAGTTCACAGTCAAAGTTCATGGGAAGGATGCACCCTGACTTGGGTGTGTATGTGGCTTATTGGCAAAGATTGGAAACACCTACCCTAATGGGGGCTCGTCGCTGCATTGCGTCTCTGCTGTGTGCCCCCACCGCCCCAGATGGAAACTCCACGAGGGCAAGGATTTCTCTCTGTTTTGTTCATTTTTCTGTCTACAGTGCTTGTCACAGAGTAGGCATGGAAGGCACACATGCTGAGCACTGTTCTAAGAGCTTGGCATCATTGCTATAAACAACGCTTGTACAGATGGGGAAACTGAGGCAGAGACTGTGTAGCTACTCCCAGCTGGCTTGTGAGTGGCAGAGTAAGGATTTGAACATAAGCAGGTTGGGCCCTGGAGCACCACGTCCCCCCACGGCCACCGTGAGGTGTCACCTCCTTTCCGGAACCTTCCCTGTGCCCTCCAGGGAGCTCTGGGCCGAGTGCAGTTACTCCTGGAGTCCACTAGACACTGTTCACTTCCCGGGCAAGCCTTACAGTTTTGGGAGTGGAGGGGGTTTGGCAGTTTCACTAGATTATATGCTTAAGCAATGAAACCTTTATAACAGTTATAAAGAATTTGCTTTGCAAGCCGTCAGCCCTTCAGTCCAACTTGATGAACTGTGGAAGCTGCTTGCTGGAGTTTAGAGAAAATGGGGTAAAAAGTCAAAAGAAAAAGGCTGGGCCCCGACTCCCCACAGCCAGCCCACACTTCCATGGGAGCCTCCCTACCTAAGATTAGGTCAGGTGGAGACCTGGCCCATCTCTCCGATGCGGTGTGAGATGATCCCTGAGAAACTCCCAGGCCTGGGCTTAGCGGGAGCCACCACGGCAAATGCAAGGCTCTGTGAATGGCAGCCTCCAACCAAACTCACTTAGAGGACCCCCCCCCCAGGGGGCTTCGGTCTCACTGTGTTGGGCATGCACACATTACCAAGTTCCACCAAAATTATCCACCCATTGCTATGCTTCCTTTATTCAGATTTTATGCCACCAGTTGGGTCTTTCAGGGTGAATACGACAGGAGGTGCTTTTTGTTTCATTTCAAGTGGTTTCCCCTTTAGGTCAGCGGCATTCATTATTAGCAGTGCTGTCATCCATACGTAAGTTTGTGTTGTGTCTAAACCCAGCAGTCCCATGATGCTCGGTAGCTGACGGCTCTTCCTTAGCATCTGATTGACATCAGTGAATTAGCCCTTCCGACTCAGAACCACAGCTCCGTGACACACTCATCACCCCAGCGAGGCTCATCTCACCAAACTGGCAGAAAGTCCCATTTTGCTGATAAACCTGTAATAGGTTTGAGTCCCTGGAAGAGCATGTAGATTGAAAACAAAAATGAGAAAACAGAACGTATTTGGAGTTTGAAATGCTACCCATCCACCCAAGGTGCTTATGTTCTGAGTCTTCTGGGAGAGAAACACTAGTTCAATTAAAACATCATGTCAGTGAATTACCACCGACCTTCATCTGATCCTTTCATTACTCACATTTATGGGGTGGAAGGATGATATGATTCCCCTGCAACTGTCCCTTGTCAAAATGTTAAAAAGCAAACATTGAGTTACAGACTTGCCTCAAAGGACAGAGTTCTCCGGAAGAAAAAGCATGATAAAGTCGAGGGTTTTGAGGACACACAGGCAAAAGTCTGGGTGCAGTTGCCTTAGGCTTTGGTGGATGATGACCTAGGGCCCCCATCTCTCCCTGTCCTTAGAGACTCTCTGCCCCAACGGGGCCTCATTGACAACAGTTTCAAGGGGCTGGCCGGAGGTGTGGGTCGTCCCCATCTGACCATCAGCTTATTTGTAAGTAAGCCTCAGAACTAAGTACTCTCTGTTGGTTTCAACAGGGTCCTAAAGAAGCAGTTGGATAGCCACCCTGCTGGTGGGATCTCTGAGGACCCCCAGGGAACGCCCTGAGTGGACTTTGCAGTGTGTACTCAGTGGTTGGGGCGTGGAGGTGACTCACGCTGCCTGTGAGTTGTGTCAGTTGTTTCTGGGGCAGATGCCTTGGAGACCTCCTAGGTTTTGGGGGGCTCCTTAGGCTCAGATTTTCTTAGGTCCAAGGCTGCTCTTCTTTGGAAAAACATATAAAAAGTTGAGCCCAGATGCAAAATAGCTCTGGGGAAAGGATGAGAAAGAAAGACCAGACACTAAAAAAGTTTCACACTAAAAGGGACTCCCTCCCCGAGCCCTCCTTCCTCCCCGCGCCTTCCTGGGGCCGCTCCACGCTTTGCTGTTGCTCAGGGATATAGACCGCTCTTTCCCTGCTTTCCCCACACCAGCTGTATCCTGATACAAGATAATCAGATGGATTTTAAAAGGTAAAGAGAAGTTTTGCGTCCAATTTGCTGAAATCTCATATTCTTTAAGAAGCCTCAGCTCAGGCATTTATTAAATGGCTGCTATGTCTCCAGCACCAGGAATAAGAATCTTGATAATACCGGGCGTTCTCTGCATGCCAGAACTGCAATGCATTCCATGGTTTTCTCTGATGTATGTCCCTTTATTGTCTTTCCCATTTTACAGGTGAGGAAACTGAGGATCGAGAAAGGAATTATATTCATTCCCTCAATAGCGAATGGACAGGTACTACTGCCAGGTATGTCCTCAAACTGAGAGCCCTTTCCTTCTCTACACCCCCAGTGCCTAGTCATCAAGCACGTGCTAAGCACCTACTGTATACTGATTCCAGGGTCCACTTCATAGGCTCATGAGCATGCCTCACTCTTGGAAGGGGGCCCATCTCTTGGGGTTTCATGCTCTGGGGTGACTGTGTTGAAATTCACAGTGATTCTAAGTGTGTGTTGCGTCTGTATTTGAAGGGATGATGGGGCATGTGGTGTGGCTCCTGCACAGTTCTGCCTCCCTCAGCCTTTCTGCTTCCTCGGGATGGAGCCTCAGAGATGTCCACTCCCCTGTCCCTTCCTGCTCGGTGACCACTGCCACCCTCCACCCTGACAAGGGTCTGGGCACAAGCGCAGGGAAGTCAGGTCAGGGTTCTGCGCTCAGGAGGGTTTGTCCTGGTTCCCACGAGTATCCCCCTGCTCGAGGGAGCGCACCGTCAAACAGCAAATGCAAAATGCCACAGCAGACAGATCACGGAAGAGAGGGACACGGTTTTTTTGTCCTTTTTGGATAAGTGGCACCACGTTTTTATTTTGCACATGATCCCACAAGTTATGGAGCTGTCCTGCCTAAGAAACAATTTCCTCAAAGGCTTAAGATGGAGTTGGGGCGCCCCCTGCCCCTGATGCTGGAATATTTGTTTTGTCATCAGACCCACATGATGATCCAATGAAAGAAGTTGTGCTTGACCACGCACCACATGGACAGCTCCGGTGGGAGAGCCAGGGCCACCGTTTGCTGTCTAAATCATGATCAGTACCGACAGCAGACATTGGCTCAGAGCTTTGCAGTTAGTGAGAACCTTCCTTGAGCTGCTCTCATATGGCCTCTGCAGGAGGGGCCCAGATAGTCACGGCCAACCTAAGGATGCGAGGGGGTTCTGAACCCCAGTCCAATGGGTCCCCCAAGCCAGGGTGTGCCTGCCACCACACTTGGCCTACCAAGTATGTGTTAAGGAAGAAGTGGCTGATGGCAGGACCACCTCTCAGGTGTCATTTTGCACCTGTGAGGGACTGTAGCCTAATTTCTCCTACCAGGCTACCATTAAGGGTTCTGGAGAAGGGGGTGAACTAGACTTTGAAGAGCCTGTAGAATGCCCTGCAAGATAGAGCAGTGATAAAGACAGCAGAAAACGCGGGCAGAGACAGCAAAGATGCAGCAGGATTGGCCAAGGGAGGTGGGTGTGGGGAATGGCTGTGTTCCAGGTGAGCAGTAGAAAGCAAAGCCGTTACCCTGGTGGGGTCTTACAGCAGAGGATTCAGAGGACAGTCTAATGGCAGCACACGTCAGTGTTGGTTAACTGGAGGTCAAGGAAAGAATAGAAATTCCAAAGACTCGGGGGCCGGGCATGGTGGATCACGCCTGTAATCCTAGCACTTTGGGAGGCCGAGGCGGGTAGATCACGAGGTCAAGAGATCGAGACCATCCTGGTCAACATGGTGAAACCCTGTCTCTACTAAAAATACAAAAAATTAGCTGGGCATGGTGGTGCGTGCCTGTAATCCCAGCTACTCAGGAGGCTGAGGCATGAGAATTGCCTGAACCCAGGAGGCGGAGGTTGCGGTGAGCCGAGATCGTGCCATTGCACTCCAGCCTGGGTATCAAGAGCAAAACTCTGTCTCAAAAAAAAAAAAAAAAGAATTCCAAAGACTCAACAGCAGTGCTTGGAGGTCATGTAGAGTCAAGGTCCATGTTTTCCCAACTGGGCTCTGTGGGATTCTCCCTCACGGAGGAGAGAGAAAGGCTGGGGGAGACGGGCTGTGAGCCCCCCTCACTCATGGCATCTCTGATTCCACCTGTTGTACATTTCCGGCTTCCATATTGGATGCTTGTTTGTAGTACAAGGAATTTCACAGCTGGAACGTGTTGAAATTCCACATAACATAACCAAGTTGTGCTGAAGAGTTGAGACCCAGAGACGGCAAATATAACATTTTCC